GAAAATATACCTATTAATATTATACTCTGTTTCTGCCAATAGATTCTCCTCAATTTTACACAGTGGACCTTTAAAGTGTTGTGTGTCATGGAGATGGCTCAAATGTTCTCACTCGCTGTAAAAGCTTGTAAGTAGTCATTTATGTCTTTAATTCTTTTAAATGAATACATTCATACAGGTGTTAATAATATACAAACTAATATATACATTATCTTTGTATCCAGTAATGTATAATACTGTTATAGTGGATCTATTGCCCCTCTATTAGAGTCAGTTTCATCATATCGTTTTCAGTGTCTGCTTTCCTTCCCACCAACCACCCCATCTCGTTAGCAAGTCCTCCCCCCTCTCTGTTTCCCCCAACTCTGCTCTCCCCCCTCTCCATGGGAGCCTGACCCTTGACCCTCACCCTTCACCCTCGCTCTGTGCGCTCATCACTGGTCTGTCAGTCAAACACCAGAGACCCTCCTCTCCTGCTGAGCTCTGCTGTCAGACGGGCCTCAGGTACAGACAGCCGCAGAGGAATAACAGAGAGGGAAGAAGTGGAGGAACATTGTGAGAAAAGAATATGATGCTATAACCTGAGTTTGAGTAGTAAATTCACATTAAATAAACTTAAACTGCAGTAACTATGTTATGCTCGAAACAATAAATGATTTTGAATGAGCCTTAATAAAGCCTTAAGCTCAGTGGTCGTCTTATCTTATTCCCACTGTCCACATTCTGTAAACTAAACCTTAAACTAACCTTAACTCCTGACCCACATCAGGAATGTCTCCCACCTCAGGCTCTCTTAAAGCAGAAACGCTCACAGTCGCATAACCTCTGACCTCTGACCCTCACCTTGACCTCTCACCTAACCCAGTCGGACCATGCATGCCCCATCAAACCCTGGACAAGGGATGAAAATAGACTAAAAGATTCTCAAAACAGCAGCTTTGCAGTCATGAAGGATGTTGTGCTCCAATGAAATGTTAAAAACCAACAATAAAACTCAGATTCTGAGGGTTCAGTGTGGATTTACTTTGTATTCACGCAGCCTGTTTCATCTCAGAGCCAGTCTTTAACCGTCCCTGCAGCTATAGATTCCTGTTTCCTAAAGGGACGGAGGCATCGGAGATGGCCTTGGATTTTAAATATTCAGCAAAGACACCACTTATAGATGACTTATTTTTATTAGCCACGCTTGCAGGATAGCTCTGTTGGTCCGTTTGTACACCGCTTTGGACTAAAGTGTCTCAACAAATATTTGATGGATTGCCATGAAATGTCCATGGTGCCCAGAGGATGAATTCTAATGGCTTTATTGATCCCGTTGACTTTTCATAGCAGTTTAATACTGTGGTCTCTAATCAAATACCTGCAAAACCAATGACATTTCCACCAACCTCATCTATACTTTATGCTAATAAATGTTAGCATGCAATAGGCAAAACTAACATGGTGAACATTAGACCAGCTTAGCATCAGCGTGAGCTCAAAACACCGCTGTACTGACCTGCAGCCTCACAGACTGTAATGAGGATTTTAATTATTTTAAAATGTAATACCTCCTGGTTTTATTATCTTATTTGCACACATTATGATGTCTGATTTTACTTCCTGTGAGTTTTCATTTTTGGTTTTGAGCCATCAAACTTTCTCAGACTACCTTGAGGTGAGTCCAATTTTACAAAAGCATTGTAGGATTTTACGTAAGTGGGCAAGTATCTGAATAGATTTCTACTTTTATTTTTTTATACAGAACTTGTGCGCTCTTCACCTTGGGATTTTAGGAGTGGAGTGTGTTATTGAAGGGATGGAAGGGCTCTTTATGTAACAAGTATCAGCAGAGGACAAGGGTGCTCCTGTAACTTGCAGGAGGAGGCAGCTAGGAGTCATGATATCCAATAATGTCTGATAAATGTTGCACCCAGACCCTGCAAAGTTCAGGATTTAGGGGACATATACACTGGTATTAAACATGCAGGTAAAAACGGTTAAATGGTGTCACCACAAAAATCTGTAGACATGAATATATGTAAAATGCTACTGTACATTGATGCGTTGGCTCCGTGGCACTGCTAAAAGTCTAGAAAAAGCTCAGAGAGCACATCGCAGCATCATTAAAGCCTAACAGAGGTGGCACAGAAGGATGGCATCCACGCAAGCTGCAGTATGAAGAACAGTAGGCCCTTGTGCTCCCTGCATTCTTGTTCACAGTAACTTTACACCACTCAGCTGTTCCTCCGAGTCCATGTCATCTCCCCGGAGCTGAAGACAGGTCTCTCATGGACAGGCGTCCTTGGACACACAGATTCCTGCCTGTATTATAGACAAGATGAAGAATGAGAATACACCCCCTTTACACTCCCTCAGTCTATGACGTGAGTTAGTGTTGTATACTGCTCCAAGCTGTATAAAGTTCTTGTTGATGAAAATGATCTGTATAGATGGTACACTGGTCCCTGGTATTTACTTTGTATTGGATCTCACCCACAAATCTAAGTTAAACTTTCACAACTGCACATTTAACAGGGTTTTTAACATAGTGATCTTTAGGTTTATAGCTTATTTTTTGTAGTTTATGTAATTGTCACCCTCTTTTTATTATAAAAATGTACAATAAAACATTTAAATGAACAAGTCTTGTGGTCCTCTCAGCACATTCTTAAGGCAACCTCTTTGGGAACCACTAATTTAATGAGAAAGAATCTCAGCTCAATGTTTTATACATATGATTTGTTTACTTTATGATTACGTTTTAGTTGGATGAAGCAAGTGTTACCAGTCACTGACTTATTGTTCATTAAGAACTGACTTAAAGCTGCAGAAACAAACTAATCTAAACAAGAACAAACTATTAATTCCTGTTAAATCTCATCATCTCATCGGCAAGTGAGTGAAAGAAAGAAATGTATCACACAGTTATCGGCATGAAGAAATAGAGCACTTCAAATCATCTTCAAGCTGTAGTTCACTATTCCAACAACAGGGGGAGACAATCATTGTGAAATGACTAAGCAGAGGAAGCAAAGTAAACCATTTTTGTCCTGATTGTGTATAATAATGCCAAGTTAGACCTGCTTCAATATGTCTTATTGACCCTTTTACACGTCAGCTCAGCCACTGACACTTCAGTCCCCTTAAAGAGAGAAAAATGAACATGGCATTTCTTTTGGGTCAAATGTGTCGAACAGAAAGATTGGCGGGAAGGAAGGAGGAAAAGGAAATACAAGTACAAGAGTTTCAAACAAACCACATCAATGTGCGCACACAATCGCCTGTGCTGTGTGACAAAGTGCCGTCGCTCACTCCTGTGTGGTGCAGCTTTTCTCTGTATGGTGGAGGATGTGGTGAACTTACTAGCATGCCTCCTATGTCACCATACAGAAGATGCAACAGCTGTGTGTGCGTGTGCATGTGTGTGCGTGTGTATGTGTGTTTGTGCATTCAGAAAGGCTTCTTGCTGTGCAGCGTGCATAATGCATAGGTTGTGGTTATATATGGAGCACAGAGCTAGCTCTGCGCAAGTTTCTGCGAAAGCAGGCGCTCGGAGGAAGCGAAGGGAGAGGGATGTGGCACAGGTGAGAGAGTACAGTGGTTCCTGTGGTCTCTTTCTCTTTCTCTCTCTCTCCTCTGCTGTGAATGGAGCACCTGGCGAGGGCCAGAAATCTTTACACACACACATATACAGTGACCCTCAGCAAGGTCAAAGAAGGTAAAACCAGGTTACATGAGTCATAGGCCGCACGCTGACATCCTTTAAAGCCCTGCTTTAAAATGAAACACAGTTCTCTCTCCTCACAGGTTGAATGTGTGTGTGACTGCAGTTCAACTAAAGAGTGATTTTCTCCTCCATCATATCGTGTCATGTGAGTCTGTCTGTCAGAGGCCTGAGGAGGTAAAACTTTACAGTATTTCACAGACAATAGAGAAAAGTTATATATAAGAATGTAAATTTGAGCAGTAGCTCAACATTTTCCTTCTTTCCTTTTCCATTAAGGATCTTGTGACCCTTTGATTTATCTAATGACCCCCTTCAGGGACCCCACCCACATGTTGGCAACCATTGTTTTGTCAAATCTGTTTTAATACTATTATAGTATTAACTTAATTATTCCTCCTCTTCATTTAGGCCACTGATGTAATTACTCTGTAAGAGGTGGAGGACAAAATCCACAACCTTCAGAGGAAAAAATGTTTTCTAATATTCACTCAAAGTTAAAATGAAGCGTCAGTAGTCTGAGTTAGTAAAGATATCTTTTACAGTCCCTCCAACCATTTCTCAGTAAGGAAACACTGTCAGGGGGAAAGTAGGAAAAGGTTGTTTTAAAAAGACTGAATTCAAAAGATACCCATTTGATTTGATTAACTGAAACTGCTTTAAGCTTTAAGTTGAACTTTTGCATTAACAGGGGAATGCGGCTTTAGTGCGTTCATGTTAGGAAGGGATCACTTCACATCCAGCATGGAGAGGAGGAATGATTACACCCACTAATCACTCTTTCAATGCACTCAGAAGCCTTATAGAATTCAATTATTAATCATTAAGATAGACTTGAAGATAGACTCTATAGTGGCTCTATTATTGATTCTGTGTCTTTGCTGCAGAGTACAAAAAATTTCTATAGAAAATACAGTTAATGATACATTCCCAGAAAAGTGTTGGTGTAGTTGTTGAGGTTAAAGACATTCCTTATAAACTTGTTTATAGAATTTATCCTGTCACAAGTTGTTCTGTCTATAAAGGGTTTTCAGTGGACAAAAACAACCTTAAAGTTAATTAAAAACAATGAAACATGATTCAGTATCAAACCTCATACTTCAGACATTATTTTATTTATTAAACGAAATGGTCAGCAAGCAAACTGTTATTTGTTAAAGGCATTATTGAAATTAATATATACATATATATGTAGGTTGAGACTGTTTTGTGGTGATGTGTGTTTTTTATTTATTTTACATGAGACATTAAAAATCTACAAGGGCCACTCAAGGGTGAGCAACCGATCTCCTCCTCCTCTTACATACAATGTGGCTGTAAATGCGCTTAAGACAAGAGAGCTCGTACTGACGTCACGTTAAAAGGTAAATGGGCGAGCCTTGTGCAAGCATTATGTGGGTGAGTGGGCAGCAGCTCGGCAGACAAAGTGCTTTTCTTTATCACTGCTAAACGTACAACCTCAGAGGCCTCTGCATCACGGCAGATATGTGTGTGTGTGTGTGTTCATCCACACAACCATCAGGCATCATGAGGGCGAGGATAAAAGGCTGCTCTTCCTCTTTTACAATTAAATATTATGCAATATCATCAGCAGGGAACGGTTTTCTTAGAAGGCTGACTTTACAATATGAATGGATTGGAACATCTTTTGTCTACTTCACAAATATTTGTTTTGTGTTGTTAGGTTGTTTTGTTTTATGTACGATGGGGAGTTTTCATGTTTTATGAAGCAGCTCGCCTCAAATTGCTTGAGAGACAAATAAAATATCTTTCAATTTGAAAAAATGTACATGCAAAAAGATAAAACTATTTACTAGACTGTCCTTTAAAAGAGTAGTTTGACATTTTAGGAACTCACTTCCTGGTGAAGAGTTATAAGAGAAGATCTTACTGTGGTATCTTCTCGTAACTCGCGACTTTCCCCTTAAATGTTAAACTTTTGCTTTAAGATATTCCTTCTAGAAAGCACCGTTGTGGGTGTGACTTTAAAGTAAAGTGTTGTTTTGTGTCATTTCATTGTGCAGAAGCCACAGCAATACCACAAGGCCTCATATGACTGTCGGCTTGTTGTTGACGAGACAAAATGTCAGGGGTTAATCTCTTTGTTTACAAATAATAAAACTCCCCTGTCTGATTATGTGCCATTAATAAATATGGATGAATGAAGGAAGAGCAGACATAAACAAACACAGAGATATTCATATTGGGTTTTAACCAGTTTTAATTAACCCTGATTACAGCTTAATTACAAGTTTGGAAAAAAAAAAAAAAAACACGAAAGAAGTGGAGAAATTCAATGTGTTACATCATGGTATTAACTCTCATCTCTCCATCTGAGTGTTATGTAACTGCTCGGGGGAGACGAGGCGAAAGAAGAGAGACTGAAAGAGGGAGAAGAAAGACCTTTACACAGTCAAACAATACACATCTTTTTTCTTCTTTTAAAATGATACAACCCCCCCTTCCCCAAAAAAAGAAAAATATACAAGAGCAAGAGAGAGAAAAAAGTAACATTATAAAATAAAAATTACAATACGATGACAAAAAAGATAAAATCACTCCCCCACTGCGCCTAAATAAAATCCTCCGCCGCTGCCCTTCCCGCTCAGTCCCCGATGTTATTTCTCTGTCAGCATCAAAATTAATATTACACATTTTAGTTATATTACATTTGTAAAAACTAAAGACAAGAAAAAGGTCTCTGATTTGGGGGCTTTAAGGTTTAAAACAGGGAATGGAGTTGGAGGGGGGGGGGGTTTCACATCATCCAAAGTGATGTACACAACATAAAAAGCAACAGCTAACAGAGCCATGGAATAATAATAATGCCAGGTGGAGAGGTAAATAACCCAATGAGAACAATAACAACAACAATAATCAATAGCAATATCGACATCAGAAAAATAAACTGAGAAACTTTTATTCTTTTGATAGAGAAATGTAATCTTTGTGCTGTTTATCTACCGTTCTTTGACTGTAGAGGCCTGAAACAGGATGAGAGAGAGCCTGTGTTACAATCAGAGTCCAATCAATCTTTTTACCCTGCAATACCATGACCGAGTCAGATCACGCCGCGGTTAGCAGGAAGTCAGACAACGCCTGAAACACAGCGAGGAAAAATGAAACAGAAAGAAGAGAGAGAGAGAGAGTGCAGAGCAGGTAAGGCTGATGCCTCATCTGTTGCTGAGATATGACAAGTAGTAGTAGTAGTAAGGCAGCTGTCAGTTCAAATACATACACAGGACTTGGTGTGTGTGCGTGTGTGTGTGTGTGTGTGTGTGTGTTGTGACATGCTCCAGTCCAGACCACAGGGGTCTGATGAGGAAATTCAATCAGCTCAGCTACACAGAGCGCCTGGAGGCCATCTATCTCACAGTCCGCTGCTATAGATCCGTCTTGTCGCTGGCCAGGCAGGGACAGACGGCTGGTCAACGCGGCTCCCTCAACCAATCGGACGAACTGGCCGCAGAGACGAAAAAAAAGCTCCAGGATGTTGAAACGTTTGTGTGTATGTGTGAATGTGCATAGTTTGAGGAGAGGGCCTTTCAGGACAGAGGCCTCACATGTCCGACTTTTCTTACAGTAATGATTAACCCCCTCTCTCTCCCTTGCCCCAATCCAGAGCTGAACTTTTGAGCATTATGCTAACTGGCAGAAAAGACAGGATAACTATTTCACTAATAACCCATGAGCTAATTCCCACGCACACACACACGCGCACACACACACACACCGAGGGCCTGGAGAGGTGGCCTGGGGCCAGGAGCGCTCAGGCCGGGGAGAACCCCACTGAGCTGAGCTAGACTGTACAGACAGGAAAGAGCAGAGTGCTGCGTGCTAAAAGGGCAAAGCTACTGCCAATGAAGTGAACAGCAGTGAACCACACATCTGAATCATTAGCAGTCTGTTCGAGTCCTGTTTTTTTTTTTTGTTTGTTTTTTTTCCCTCTCTCGCTGGTCTTGTTCTGGTAAGTCTGGCCTGTGCTGTTTTTCTCTGGCTTGTCTATGAAACAAATGTACAAGAGAAACCCGGACCCCATCCCCTCATCATTCTGCCCACCCGCCCCTCCGTATCACATTACCTTGTGAGTGGCATGACGCGTCTTTACCACTCAAAATAATCCACTTACAAAAAAATCCTGAATCAATGTCATTAAAATGCTATGGTTCTTTTAAAATCTCACTTTTTTTTTTTTAATAATTTCATTTAGAATATATAAAGATATAGTCTGTATGTGTGTTATTAGAGCTCAGTTTGCACTTTTATACATGCTATAAAAACAAGGCATAGAGAGGCAGTGTGTGTGTGTGTGTGTGTGTGAGGTCTATGATGTTCCCTGCTCTCTCAGGCTCCCACACTCATGTAGTTAACAGGCCTGGCAGTCTCACACACTCTCAGGACCTGAGGATGACGTCACTACAGGGAGAGCTGGTGGTCCTGACACGCAGCGCGAGAGAGAGAGGGATGTTTAAAAGCTAAAGGCAGTGTCGTGCACGCGCGTGTGTGTGTGTGTGTGTCTTTGCTGGTTTATTTTAACACTATCTATGATTGTTAGAGGAGCTTTAGCTGGTGAACTAGGATTCTGTGCTGCTGGGACTTGAGAGAAACTATTTTCAGTATACAAGCCATGTTAGGTGAGGTGAGAAGGCTAGTTAACGGTTCCTGGAACCCCTCAAACCTTCCTTCCCCTGCTGCTTTCCCCTCTTGGTCCCCCCTCAGCAGTCCTTCCTCTACAATGAAGTACTTCTTCATTCTTCTCTTTTTCCTCTCCTCACATCTCCCTGGGGTTAAAATTATTTCTGTGAGTGGAGTCATGATCTTTCCACAGGTGGTCCGCAAGAGAAAGAGGGGGCAGGACAGGAGAGAGACAGAAGGAAGGTTATACAAAAGTCAAAAGCTCTGAGAGAACAGTGTGCCAGAGTCAAAGTCCGTGTAAGTGTGGATGTGTGAGTCTTTGCGTTGCAGTGAACATTGTTAGGTGTCCATAAGCAATGCTTCCAACGTGAGTCCCCTTCGCTGACGGCTGTTTTTGTCTTGTTTTGTTTTTTGCTTGTGTGTGTTTTTGTGCATGATTCCAATAAAACATACAGCAATAGGCTTCCCTGAGTGGAGTGGGCCAGGTTTAAGAGTCAGTCAGACGACACCCAACAGCCCCACTCTTCAGTCTTGAAGACACACTCCTCTCCCTCCCACCATGATTTTTCAGTATCTGCCAACATTTACAAGGGTTTCACGAGTTAATTGATTACTCGTAGCAGTCCACTCCAGCTCCTTTGCTCTCTTCCGTGTCACTCCAGGGCTGTGGGTTTTAGATACAGGCACTTATCAACGTCCCGTCAGCTTATAGGAGAAGTAGCATAGGGGAGGGTGTGCACATCGTCATCGTAGGTGTGTTGCTGGGCTGTAAGGGAGTTTGTGTCCCCTGAGGAAAGTGCTGACTGGCTGCGGATTCTACTGATGGGGCCTGAAGGCGGGAGCTAGGCGGTGCTACTGGGGCAGGGCATCTGGAGGTTCACTGGCCAGGTGGGAGGTGAACTTGGGAGTCAAGTTTCATAAGGGAGCCTCCCTCTGATTTCAGCCTTGTTACAGTCACTGTGCCTGGGATGGCTGAGTCGGAGTGAGTCCCACCTCCCAAAGGATGAGTCCCAGAAGAGCCCTGATCCAGACAGAGGATTGATGGGGGATCTGACAGAACACGAGTCAGACTGTCTCTGAGGTGTTTTATATGTGTGTATGTTGGACTGTGCTCTCAGTTCACTGGAGGTTTCAGGAATCTAGTTTGTCAGTGAAGGAGAGGGATTAAAGAGGAACCATTTACATACTCCTGTGCCACCTCCAGTGCTAGTGGAGCAGTAGTGTTTGGGCTGCGTCTCTCATCAGCAGTCTTTGTTCTCCAGAGACAGCTGTGCAGTGGCACGATGCAGCTCAGCGCTCACCCTCAACGGTGTGGCTAAAGAGCCCTCGTACGCCAATGGGGGAGGGCTGTCCCCTTCTCCACTGCCTGTCCCATCCTCTTCCATCTCCATCCGCCCATTACTCTGCCTCTCTCTTTCCCTCTCCTCCTCTGGTCGTACTTTCTTGTCGTCCGACTCCTCCTGTGAGGCCTCCATGCGCTGGTCTTCGCTCCAGCGCCTCTTGAAGCGCAGCTTGAGGGGGATGCACTTCGTCTGAGGAGATCCCGCCGAGCCCGTCTGAGGTGGGGGTGTGTTACTGTCCCCTGGTTCGGTGGGTTCACTCTTGAGGGTAGCCAGCCCACGATGCACATTGGAGTGTATGTGCTGTGAGGTGAAGAAAGGCATCAGGCCAGGTGGAGGTGGAGCAGGGGCTTTGAAGACATCCTCGTCCAGGTCTTCATCAGGATGGTGTTGATGTTGTGGGGCAGCTGTGCCGTTATTGAGGCGGTGATGGTGGTGGTGGTGGTGGTGGTGGTTAGGGAGTCTGGAGTGGCGAGGGGAGAACAGCTCATATTCCTCATCTCTCTCATCTGGATCCTCGTCACTAATGTCAGTCACCTCCACCTCTTCCTCTGACTCGATGTCAGAGATGGGCTCCACCTGGGCAAATAGGAACAGAGACAAAGATGAAGAATGAATTAGTATATTAGTATTTTAGTTTATTTAGTTTAGTTATTTTTTTTTTTTTAACATCAATTATTCAAAATATTGCTTCATTAAAAACAAATTTGCTTTAGGACAAAGTCTGACAATGAAGTGTTATATAGATTAAATTCACAAGTGTCATTTTTTAAAGGACCAGTGTGTACAATTTAGTGGCATCTAGTGGTGAAGTTGCAGATTGAAACTAACTAAATACCACTTGCCTTCCAAGCATGAGAGAAACTACAGTTTAACATGGCAAACTCTGTAGAAGAGGACCCGCACCCTCTGAAAATTCTTATTTTCTGGTGAGTATACACAAATAAAAACATACCTATGAATATTATATTCCATTTCTGCCAATTGATCCTCCTAAATGTTACACACTGGACCTTTAATGCTTTATACTTAAAGAAGAGATCGTGCAGACATTTCCTCTATAAGAAATTCCTGGCATAATCACCAGATGGGGGCGGGGGGGGGGGGTCTATGTATCTCACCTTTATCTTGGGAAGTCCTGCACTGTTTAGGGACTGCGTTGAGGAGGAGGCAGAGATGAGGCCTGAGCCGCTGGCTGAGCTCAGGTCACTACCAAATGACAGCGAGGATCCCAGGCCAGAGGTAGAAGACATGGACCCAGATCCTGAACCTGAGGACATGGAGCTCTGCCGGGGTTTACTCTGGCTTTGACTGTCCCTCTGCTTCCTGCCCGGTGGTGGTGGCTGCAGCTTGAACTTGAAGGGAGACATGTGTGGAGGCTCTTCACCCAGGTGGAGTGGGTGATGCATGGGATGAGAATGGGGGTGAGGGTGGGCAGAGTGAGGTGGATGCGGGTGGTGGTGGGCAGAGTGAGCCAGAGATGGATGGTGATGCCGCTCGCCTCCCCTCTCTCCTCCCCCTGCCGTCGCTGCCCTCTCCGCCCTCTCGCCTCTCTCTCCGGTCAGACCGGCCTTGTCTGCAGCGGGCCGGTGTGGCTGAGGGATGACGATGTTGGGGTACTGGAGGAAAGCTCTGGGGCTGAGGCCGTAGTTGTATACTGACTGAGTGTGGGCCTGCAGGTAGCGCTTCATGTCCTCTGGGTTGAAGGAGAAGTGGGAGCCTAACATGGGGGAAAGGGTGGGTGAAGGAGTGTAAGGGAGGTGAGATGTCGGGGTCATGGAGAGCGCTGGGGACAGAGGAGGGGCTAAGAGGCCAGCTCCTCCTGGTCCTGGCAGAGGGGACACAGGGAAGGGCGACAGGGAGTCTGGGTGGATCCGGTGGCCTGTGGGGCCGCGGGAGCCCGGGTGCCCAGCGGGGTTACCTGGTCCTCCATACATACGGAACAGGGTTTCATGAGACAGACGGGGGTGGATGATACTTCGATAACCTCCTCCTCCACCACCAGGTCCTCCTCCTCCTCCACTCACGCCCCTCTCTCCCCTCTCCTCTCCTGCTCCTGCGTTGCCCTCCTCAATCTCAGAATTGACAGAGGTGCCATCGCTGCAATCGCTGACGGAGCCGCGGGCCATTCGTCGGGCCACCGAGCTGAACATGCCGCCAGGGCTGCGCAAGTCCTCGTTGGGGGAGAGGACTTCGGAGGGAGTTGAAGGAGGGAAGCGGAAGTGGGTCCCTGCACCGGTGGGGACAGGAGGGGCGCTCTGAGGAACGCTGCTTCCTGGAGATGTGAAGGGAAGGAGGGAGGGAGGGACGGAGAGAATAAAGAGAAGGAGAATACTGAGAAAAATAATATACAATGTTCTGCTGTGTAATCCTATATAATCACACTATCCTATTGTGGGATTAGGAGATATCTGAACACACACAGACACACAGACACACACAGAGCCAGACTGTCCAGGCTTACCAGTGGAGCCCATATCGATGAAGGGGTAGTTGACCAAAACCAGTTTATTGAAGTTGAACTTATAGGTGAACCTCTTGCCTTTGGTCTTATGGAGGATCCTCTTGTTGTAGTAGTATCTGGTAAAAAAGAGAAGAGCAGACATGGTGAATAATAAATACATCACGAGAGGACGCTAGCTAGCTCACACATGCCTAATGAATGTAAAGACAACTGGAAAGACATATCAGGGTTAAATAACTGACAGCATATTATCTTATGTAATTATTTTAACAACACTGACACCTTTAATTTAAAATGGACACCTCATTTTACAATATTATTTTGATCCTGCAGTCATTGAGACCATGACAGATGCGCCTGCACACTCAAGCACACACTTTAATAAGCACGAGTCTTTCATGTCGCCCCCCCCCCCCTTCTAATGATAGATATTACAGAGTGTTGTATGACATTTGCACAAAGCAGACCCAGTAAGTGAGGGCGCAGGAGGAAGAGGAGGGAGAAAGGGTATGAAAAAGAGAGAAAACAGACAGATGAGAGGCAGTGGATGGACTGAGCTGTGGATCAGCAGTGTGAAGGGATAAACAGACAATTAAGAGATCAGAGGTCAATGTATGCAGCATTAACAGACTGGATGTAAATGGTGTGTAAGGGCACATGTGTGAGCAGATGCATGATACAGGTGTGTGTGTGTGTGTGTGTGTGTGAGAAACCTTCACTAATTTATATTTAAACGAAGGTCAGGAATTAGAAACAAAAGTATATTTCAGGTTCAGATTTTGTCAGACAAGTGTCACACAACAACACATGCTGTTATTCATTTTTGCTAGATGGACATATCTCTTTATGTAACACCAAAGCAAAGCCACCAATAATTCCCCCCATCTTTATCTGTTTATGTAATGGCCATTCTCTGTTTTTTTTTTCTCTCCAAGCTTTCTCTCTCTCCCGTGGCTCCTGCCTACAGTACAAGGCTCCATTTTTATTAACCTTTGTCCGGCTACAGCTCTTTATGTAACATCTCTCCGCTTTCTTACCCAGATCCACATCCACTTTATGAAACCTCTAGATCCCTGGCTGCCAAGCCTCACACGCTGAGGGAGACAGAGCGAAGGAAATAGGAAGATATAAAGAGCAAGAAAGGAACAAAGATGGTGTGTGTTTGTCCGTCGGGGAGATAACAAGCTTGTGTGCCATGCTCACCAAAAACCACCACCTTTCCTTTCAACACTACGCCTTGCTATTAAACACAAGATTTAACCAGACTGCACATTTACTCATCGTGTCTGCATGCCTACCTGCTTTTAAAGCACTAGGCTCGGCTTTCCCTTCCTCCAGCATGTGTCTGCTGGCACAAGTTAAGTGAAGTGTGCTGACAAAGATAGGGGCTTCAGGGTATGTAGGTAATGCTGAGTTAATCAGAGCCCATTGACTATCATTACACTGAATGGTAGTTATCCAGACGGCTGTGTGTGTGTGTGTGTTTGTGTGTGTTTGGTGGTGGGGAGGTGTCACCCTTCACCCCCTCTTATTATGCTTATTACACAGACTGGTTGGGCCGTTTGTGCTCTGGGAACAGACTGTTGCTCTTTTTCAATCTTCGACCCTCCTCCTCCTCCTCTTCTCCCTTTATCCTACTCATACCTCGCTCTCTTTTTCTCATCAATCCACCTCCCCCCTCTTTATCCCAACTCTCCTCCCTGCGCTCCCTCCACTCATCCCCTGAGGCGATGGGAGAGGGTGAGAGAGAGGGAGAGACAGAGAGAGACAGGACAGGCCTGCACTGTTGAAAACATTGTTTACGCCAGGCACAAAGCAGCATGTAATTTTTGCTCTAGGGGAGACACTCACAAGGGCATGGAAGGAGGGGAGAGAAACGGTTGGGAGCGAGGGGACGGATAGAGACAGGCAGGAAGTCAAGCAGAATTAAAACCACAACAGGATTGTGATCGAATTAGTTGATGATGAAAAGTCAGCAGGCTGTGCTAGGGCCCACATATGGGTCCAATATGAATACGGATTGCAAGGTTGGAAAACAAACAAACAAACAAACAAACAAACAAACGTTTCTCAGAGCAATTTATTTTTACAGCATCATTCCAACTGGAGCAAATTTCATGACATACTGCATTTTTATCAACTTCTGAAATGCCACACTTACTAAAACATGATACAAGATAGATATGAGTTTATTAGGTAAACCTAAATAAAAGTAGGACCGCTGAACGGTGAAAAACCACTCGAAGTTAAGAAACTGTGCGACATCGCCTCCGCCACTTCTCACTCCTCACTAGTGAGTTATTAAACTGTTTAAATGAGCAACATGCAACCTTTTCCTACAGTTTACTATTTGACTTTGTGCGAAGGAGCATGTTGTTTTTGATTCCATCTGTAATCTTTGAGGCAGAGGATATATGAAAGAGATCCAAGAGACTAAAATAAGGATCTTCTCCTCCACAGACATTCATCCACACGAGGTAAAGACTAAACTTCCTCTCCCACCACGGCGTCATTGGCATAAAGGTTCACATTTTAAACTTGAACTGCTCAGTGGATCCTCACAATAATAAAACAGCCTTGTTAATAGAAAATCTGCCTCATTAATGTAACTGAGATGGACAAAACATCATAAATACTTTTCACTATTCATCAGCGCCACAGACCACCGCCTCCAAAATGACCATGAAGCTGAAACAATGTCTCTCTAAATGAGTTTAAACAAAACCGGAATATTATAACCTTCATGACGGTACGATTCATTAAGGGATGTGCACTAGACTGCTTTAGTTTTAGCCAGGTGTACCTAATAAACTGAGTGTATAATTAGCATACATATGGACGAATCCCAAAGGCCAGTATTTGTCACTGTGCTGACACTGTGTGACCCTGGCTCACTGCAGTCTGATAGTCGGGAGTGAAGCCAACTAAAATTGTGTACGCGGTCGGCTGCACTCACACATGCAGCTAATACAAAGAATGCTCAAATTAATAGTTGGAAGCAGACAACAACTTCTCGTAATCCCAGCCGCGGCAACTGAAGCTGTGTTTAGAGCACATGGTCACCCATTCTTTCTCCCCCTCAACACTGAAAAATAAAGTAAACCAATCCGTTTGTGTGTGCGTGAACAGGCTGTGCCTTGCCATTGTTGGCTGTAAATAGGCGCTGACTGTGACAGGAAGTTGGGATTACAATACTCCCCATGAGCCCCGTGTTTATTTTCTGCCTTTTCGTCAGCATTGGCTGTTACACACACACATCCCAGCCAGATCCTTCTCTACCACACATGCACACACACACAGCTGCTCC